AGGATCAATGTATGTCTGATGAGCACACAGAGCTTCCTCCAGGACAGACCACAGGTACAACAATAAACACTCTCAATAATCTTAAGAGGTTCCAGAGGGCCGGAACTCATATGTAGTATGTTCCCCTGAATAAAAGACCATGAAATTAGAAGTCAATAACAAGGAAATTGGGAAAGTTACAAAACCAAGGGAAGTGAACCAAAGTATTCTCATATATCCATGGGAATTCTAGGCCTGCTATAAAATCACAGTAACAGGCTGAGTGACTTAAATGACAGACAATTATTTTCTCACGCTCCTGGAGGCTGGAACACTGGGATGGAGTTTCCCACAGGGATGCATTCTCCTTAAATCAGCTGTTTAGCTTGCTGTTAACCATAGACATGCTGTATCTTCATATAATCCTCTTCTGTGTATACATGGCCCTGATATCTCCCAATGTATATGTCCCAATCTCCTCTCTGCAAAAGGATGTTAGAGAACCAGGGTCTTTCTGCTCACTGCACAATGTGCTGATCATTGCAACAAGTTTTGTGACAAAGAAAGTATTTTTTGCAAGGTGGTTAAGCCTGGCCATGGAGACTAAGTGTGAAATCTGTAATTCTGTGGATACTGATGAGACAGAGAGGGAGGATGACTTAAGGCCTGGGTAAAGGTAACTGGAGGTGACATAAGCAGTGGTCTGCATGTGCACAACCTTCTTAGCTCTCCAGTGGTTGTATGTTCTGAAAATAGAAGCATTAAAATGATCTGAGTGTGGCATCCTTGGAACTTTTACACTAAATTGTTGACCATTGGACATCTGCCTGAAATGCAGTGATGTGTGGATGATATCGACAACAGCTGCTTCCCAGTCTCAGAAAAGTAATCCAGGCAAACTTCAGGATCATGACCCACCTCCCACAGGCAATATGTACTCCAATGAAAGGGGCCTACAGATAGTAAGATTGCTCAGCTGCAGAAACTCCAACATTAGTGATCTTTCAAATTAATGCAAAGAATTAACTAAAAGCAAGTGAACACAGAGGCTTTATTTAGGACATTCTCTTGGTTTTAAAGATATCAGTGAGATGAAATTTAAGCTAAGCCTTTGTTTTACACTAAGATTTGTTTTATCTCCATTGCCTGTTTAAAAAACCATTGGGCAAAAACAGGCACACTCTGAGGACCTGCAAAGGGATCAGCATATGAATTTGGTGCTAGAGGATAAAATTCAGTCCATAACAATTTCCAGTGGAGCACAGGACTGATCACACGACAAACTAGAAGGAACCTTGAAATGAACAAAAGAAAAATGTACATCACATAGGGTTGTTCCATAGCCCAGTTGGTAGAACTGTTGCTTAGCATGTATGAGGCACAGGGTTTGATTCCTAACACTGAAAAAAAAGAAATGAAACAGAAAAAAGAAAAAAAAAATCACAAAAGATATGAAGGGAAAGCACTAGTCAAAAATGTGAGCTATGCAACCAACTTTAAAGAGAAAAAGGACTGCAAATAATAACTTCACCTACAACACACAGAGAAAGGAAATGAATAAACCCACCAAAAAGAAGCATAAGGGAGGAATAATGAAAGATAGGGTAGAAAGAATAAAAAGCAGAATAAAAATAAGTAGAGGAATTCATGTAAGGAAAGTTTAAATTTTGAAAACATTAACGAAATTGACATATCTTTAGCCAGACTAAGCAAAACAATAAAGAAGAGCCCCAAATTACCAAAATCATTCTGAAAAGCTTTATAGTGGAAGATTATATGACATTCTGGAGAATAGAGAGGACATGAAAAGATCCCTGAGTGACAGTGGTTCATGGAAGAGGAAGGGAAGAAAGGTTGACTAGGTTAAGTGAAATGAATTTTTAGGGCAGGAAATCTATTCTGAACAATACTGTAAGCGTGGTTCCTCCACAAATACACATTTGTCAAAACTTGCTGAAATTGGCAGTGATGTAAGTGTAGGTTATTTCACCCCATGAAAACAAATTTGTAAACAAGAATAGTGTTAAAATCACTGTGCGTAGGGCTGTCTTGCATTTCCTAGTTGAGGCAAAGGCAATGTAGGCTGTTGCTGTAGCTCTCCAACCAAACATGAATCTGGGAGGCTGAGGGCTGGCACATGGCACAATGTTTCTGAGGAATTAACTGGGTTCTTCAGAAGAACTCTCCCTCACAGAATCTGGGGGAGGAGAGTGGTTCCAGGGAGGAGGCACTGGAGCAAGTGTTGATGGTTTCCTCCACCACCAATATCCACAGCTAAATGTAGAGATCCCCATCCTATTTGCCAAGCACTGAGCATTGCCCCACCCATGTGTAGAACAAGGTATACCATGTCAGCATGGTACTGAGACACAATATCTGCCCAGCAATATGAGAGATTTGGGGGGGGATAAAAGAAAACCACATTGGGCTGGGGATTTAGCTCAGTGGTTTCGCCACCTGCTGTGCAAGTGCAAGGACCCGAGTTCGATCCCCAGTACCAAAAAAAAAAAAAAAAGAAACCACATCAATGAATGTACACTTGAATCACAACATACACTCAACTTCAGGAATAATAAAACAATAAGTGAAAATATGCTTTGGACACACAGTAAAATGACACTTCTGACCACACTATTGCTTTTTGGTAGATATTTCACATGTAGGTGATATTGGATACAAACTCAAATCAATTTTTCAAAGCTGAAAGTTTTCCTTGTGTCTCAGAGAAGACTTGAATTTTAACTTTTCAAAAATGCTTGTTCAGACTTGGGGGAATGGATTATTTTGTTTCTAATCATATGGGGACATATGGATTGTATTATGTTAAGTGGGATTATAAACCTAGTATTACTGTCTTTATTTGGAGATTGAATATGGTTTAAGAAACTGTGTTTGAGGGTAAAATTCACAGGGCAGTAATTTTGATCATTAATCTTGACAGGTCAACAAGCAGGTTAACTTAGCAGTTTAAGACAGCATGCTCCAGGACATGTGGGTGTGGGGGTGATGAAAGGCTGATCTTCAGTAATGTAATAGTCTTTGGCCCCTTCCACTCTGGTACTGTTCCCCAGTTCTGCTTTACAGCCAACATGAATTGAGAAGCTTTGTGCCTTGAAGACCTTATCCCATGCTGTTTCTGCCTTGGAGTCAGCCTATTATAGACTGAAAACATGAGCCAATTAACCCTATTTTCTTGCAGCTGTGGTTGTTGTAGCAGCAACATGACAAGCAAGTGTGCGTTATTGTCCTGTGCTTCCAGAATTAACCATGGAAAACCACAGAAAAGAGAGAGAGAAGATCTAGCAAACACACACAAGCATCTCAATGTAAACAATAAAATATGAGGAAGCTCTGACAGAGACTGAAGATTATGAAACTGGTACCTGCATGTGGGTAGGGGCAGAGAAGTGGATGAGGGCTGAAGCCTGCCTAGGTAGCACATGACAGCATCAGTCAGGAAAGTTTGGAAACTCCTGCCTCTGTCACTGCATGGGCTGAGGCAGCACCTCATACCAGAGATGCCAGTGACCTATGGGTAACATCAGCGAGCAGGAGAAGGAGACAGCCTGGCTGCAGAGGCTGAGCTAACAACCACCTGAACCCACCCTAGTGGGCGTGGACTGGCTTTCACAACCGTCACTATTTTAATGAAGGTAAGGAATGCACTAGAATTAGAATAGCGAGTAAAAATTGAACCATGTAGAGTAACCATAGATATGCTTTAATCAAATATGCACATGTAGTGTACCTACATCCATGTGCAAATGTATTTGTACATATACATAAAATACTTTTCTATTTGACATATATAACATACAAATACATGTGCACATATAATACACATAAACATACTCCACATAGACACTTTATATACTTTGTTTCTACTGTTACAAAGAACACAGAAATTTAGTAGAAGTATAAAAGAGTTTCCTGACTCCAAATGAACTTCAAGTTGAAAATCATTTTCTAGATTATGAAGAGTTAGATCACCTCACATAAACAGGGTTCACCCAAAAACCTGCTGCTGCTAATCCTCTTCCTAATCAACATCAATCTTTTAAAAGGAAAGTTTGGGGAGATCTGGCTCTCATTGCTGGTAAAGAGACCTCACAAAAACCCTGGGTCCTCAGCCTGGCCCTGGAGATCAGCACTGGAATCCTCTAGCAGTCATATCAGCCTGAATGCTCCCCTCCTGACCTATACGTACCATCTCAGGGGACTTTTCAATTTGAGAAAAGCTGGCTAAGGTAGGCAGGACCAGGTTTCAGGCTCTGCTGGGAACCAAGGTGACAACCCTGCCCTCCCCCATGGAGGACAGAGGGGACCTGCAGAATCCCATTCTTCTCCTGCAGTTGGATCCTGGGCACATCACTGGATGTGATGTCCACTAACTCCCTGACCTGTGGTGGCAGATTTACCTGAGGGCTTTGTTCTAATTTCTTTCTTCAGGTGAGGGTAGCAGGGAGACCCGAGCTCAGTTAGGGGGTCAAGATGGTGGGCTGTGGGTGTTGTAAGGAAGCCCCAACCCAAAAAGAGTTCCCCAAATGAGCCAGGTCTCCCTCCCTTGTCAGCCCTGCACCCTCAGGAAGGATTTTCACAGGAGACCTCTCCACTTAGGGGACTTTGGGAGTTAGAGCTTTATTCTGAGGAGAGCAGACTCAGGTCCATAGAGGATGGGATCCTAGCTTTTCTGGAAACCTAGGTGATGATGCCTGGGGAGGAAAAGGGGTCTCTAAGAATCCCATTCTACTCCTTCAGTCAGCCCTGGGAGACCCCAAGTATGTTGCTGGTTGTGACCTCCACTGACTCCACCTCATCGTCAGAGAGGAGTGAGAACTCTTCTGTGTTCCTTCCTGCAAGTAAAGAGAGCAGAGAGGGCTGAGCTCAGTTAGGCTTCACACTGAGGGTCTGTGGGGAGTGAGGAAGCCCCACTCCAGCCAGAGGGTCCACAAACTATCCAGATTTACAGGCGTTTTGGCCCTGTGCTTCTGGGAAGTATTCTCACGTCAGGACCCCTTTGTCCTCAAGGGTTCCTGAGTGTAGAGTCTGAGACTTGTTCTGAGGCTCAGGCTTCAGGAGGATAGAGTGAAGACCTGGGATCAGATAGGTAAAGGTGAGGGCTGAGGGAGGACCAAGGAAGCCCTACCACAGAAAAAGGATCCCAGAACATTCTAAAAAACCCTCTGCTGCCTACCCTCTGAATGTGCAGAATCTCCAGAACAACCTCTTTCACCACTCTGGGACCTGAAAGGAAAGCAGAGTCTTGTTCTGAGGTCCCTGCTTCAGGTGGAAGCAACATAGAAGATCAGGGTCAGGTAGGTCTAGTTGAAGGGTTGTGGAGAACCAAGGAAGCCCCTCCCCAGGTAGGGGACCCACAGGTGATCCAGATCTGCCCCGTATCAGAGCTGCAGCACACTGGGGTAGATTAATGAGGACCAGGCCCTGCCCTTGTCAGCCACAGGGATCCTGGGAGTCACGGCCTGGTCCTCAGGTCTGTGCTCCTGTGGGGACTGAGACAGGACCTGGGCTCAGTTAGAGCCCGGTGAGGGGCTGCCCTGGGGGGACTGAGGAAGCCCCACCCTGATGGCATCCAGAACAATCCAGGTCTGCCTCTGCTGCCCTTCTGTGCCCCAGGACATTATTCTCAGGTGAGTGCTGCCTGTTGCCCCGGGGACCGACCTGGACAGTTAGAGCCTTGTTCTGGGGTTCTTGGCTCAGGTGGCAGAAAAGGCAGGCTGAGCTCAGTCCACTTCAGGCCCTGGGGCGGGGGAGGCCCCACACCAGGGAGAGGGCCCCTAAGTAATAATCCGGCTCTCAGTGGCAGGGTAAACTTCTCTCCCAGGTCTACTTCATAGGACTCTGAATGTCAGTATCAAGTTTTCTTTCCTCACAGTTTTTCCATTTCCAGTAGGTCATAAGAATGAAAGCATAGACTACATGGGCTTCCCAGGGGGGCTCCTTTCCCTGGACATGATGCATTTGTGATGGAACCGTATTGTTGTGTATATCAGTAGTTTGTCCTTTATATTGCTGAGTACCATTCCTATGGATGGGATATAGATTATTTATCTATTTCTCTGCTGAGAGGTCATTGGTTTTTTTCCAGTTTTTGTTTGAGACCCCAGAAAAACTGCTATAAATACTCACCTCAGGTTTTTGTTTGAGCATGTGTATTCATTTCACTGGGGTATATACCTGAAAGTAGGCTCGCTGAACCATATGCGAAGTATGTTTAGTTCTATTAAAAAACATACAAACATGTCTTCCAAAGTGGCAGTACTGTTTGACCTTCTCACCACCACTGTGTGAGGCTTCCAGTAGCTCTATAACCTCACGAGCACTTGGTTTGTTGGCATTTTTCCTTTGTATTTAGTTTTGAATGTTAGTCAATGGAATAGCTGTCTCGGGATATTTCATCACATTTTATTCTTTCTCTTTTTTTGGTGCTGGGCATTGTACCCAGGGCATGCTTTGCAGGGGCTGTACCACTGAGCTGCAACCCAGCCCCTCCATTTTGGCTTTAAAGTTGCATCTCTAAAACAGATAATAATACTGTATGGATTTTGATGAGTTTGTCTTTCTCTACGTGTCTTCTATATCATTGTACACTGTGTATTTTTAATGAAGTATCTGTTCAAATTTTTTATCCATTTTACTAAAGATTGTTTTATCTTATTGTTGAATTTTATAATTCTTGACATACCTCTGGATAGAAGTCAGATATGTCATTAGGAAATCCTTTCTCAAAGTCTATAGCTTGCATTTTCATTATGTTAACCATGCCTTTTAAAGGGAATGTTTTCAAATTATATAAAACCCAATTCATTGTACTTCCCTTTTACTAATCATGTTCTTGGTGGTGTATCTAAAAAATTTCGCCTATCCTGAAGGCACCAGATTTTTCCTATGCTTTCATCTAGAATTTCATAGTTTTGTGTTGTTCATTGAGATCTTTGATCCACTTTGAGCTAATTTACCTATATGATTTGAGATCTCCTGTAGCTGAAAGTTCATCTCAGGGGTAGAGAGCATTTCAGCATGCTTGAGGCCCTGGGTTCAATCTCTAGGACCACAAAAGACAAATAAAGGATGTGAACATAAATAAAGGTTTTTGTTTTCTGGTTTCTTGGTATTTTTTATATTTCTGTGGATGGATGTCCAATTATTTAAGTATCCTTGGTGAAAATGCTACACTTTCTTGATTGATTGCCATTGAAATTTTGTAAAAAATCAATTGGTCCTGTTTGTTTAGGTCTATTTCTAGGTCTTTGCTCTTTTTCCATTAATCTGTCAGTCTGCCTTTTTGTCCACTAATATCAGTGTCTTATTTTGGTTTGTTATCACTTTATATAAAGTCTTATGATTTGTTCTTCTTTACCAAAATTCTCTTTCAATTTTATCTCAAATTCCTATCCACATAAAACTCAGAATCATTTTATTGGTATTTACAAAAATCCTGCTGTGTACCTGGGGGTGGTGGCACATGCCTGTTGTCTTAGTTACTTTTCTCACTGTTGAGACAAACTACCCAACACTCACAAGTAAAAGGAGGAAAAGCTTATTTAGCTCACAGTTTGTAGAGGTTTCAGTCCATAATTGGTTGGCGACAAGGCAGAGGGGCATGACAGAGGAGAAAAAGTTCATGGTGGCCAGAAGGTAGCAAAGCAACAAGAACAACCACAGCTCTTTCTATCCCTTATATTTTATCCAGGCTACTTAGGTGGGTAGCACTCACACCCTTAATCCTATTTCCCTTGAGCCTAGCATTGCAGCAATAATTAATTCTATCATCACACACTGTAGATCCAGCCAGTTCTGAAAAAGCCCCATCTATGACTGCATGTGGCTTTGGAGGGACATTTAATCACAAGCCATAACACCTGTAATCCCTAGGTGGCTGAAGCAGGAGGATTGCAAGTTTCAGCCCTGGCTGGGAAACTTAGTGACATAAAAAAACCCTGTCACAAAAGAAAAAAGAAAAAATGGGCTGTGGATGTAGCTCAGTATGAAGTCCTTAGGTTTAATACCTATTATGGCAAAATAAATACATAAAAAAGCAAGCCTGCCATGATTTTGATGGGACTATATCCATAGATCAATATGTACAGAATTGATATAATGATAGTGAGTCTTCCAATTCATAACCATATTGTGTCTTTCCATTATTTAGGTCTTATTTTATTTTCATCAGCATCATATTGTAGTTGTCAGCATACAGAACTCACAAATAATATGTTAGGTTTATATGCAAGTGTTTAGAGGTACTGTAAATGATGCTATTTTTTATATTATACTAAGTGAAATAAACCAGTCAGAAAGGAACATACTGAATTTGATAATATTTTGGGTAGAACTTTACTATGTATATTCACATGTTATAGTAGTCTGTAGATTATTGCATTGCCTTTATCCAAGGTTGGTAATCAAATTAATGCTGAGTACCTAAAATGAATTTAGAAGTATTTCCACATCTTCAATTCTTTCTCTGAGGTCATGGCTTCAGGAGGGAGGAGGGGAGAGGATCTGGGCTCATTTAGGTCAAGGTGAGTATTGAAGGAGTACCGAGGAAGCTCCATCCCAGAGAGAGGATCCCAGAACATTCTTGAAAAGCCTCTGGTGCTAGCCTTGCTGGAGGGGTACAGAATTTTCAGGGGAGCACCTATTGTGCCCTCCCTGGGGCCCGAGAGGATATGAGAGCCTTGTTTAGAGGACTGAACTTCAGGTGAGAGGAACAGAGATAGCCTGGGATCAGGTAGGGTCAAGAAAGACTGTGTGGGATTCTGTGGAATCCCCAGCACATAATGTTCTAGAAAAGCTTCTTTTACCTGCCCTGTACCACCCAGTATAAGATTCTGAGGTGAATATCCCATCTCCTCACTGGATACAGAGTGTCAGAGCCTTTTTCTGAGGACTGAGCTTCAGGTGGGAAGAGCGAAAGGCTAGGGGTCAACTAGGTCAAAGCAGGGCTGAGGGCAGAGTGAGGAAGTCAGACTGAGGAAGTGGGTTTCCATAGAAACTCAGATCTTTTGTTGTTAATCCAGCACCAGGTAAAAATTCTCAGAGGAGTATCACTTTCCCCTCAGGCCACCAGGTGAGGAGAGTCAGAGCCTAGTTCTGAGGACTGTGCTTCAGGTATAGGGAGCAAAGAGAACTAGGCTTAGTTAGGTCAAAGTGAGAAGCTAGGGGAACACAGTTAAAGTCTCTCCTAAAATACAGTTTCCCCAACTAACCCAAATCTACCTCTTCTGTTGGCCTTGCACCACACAGGCAAAATTTTTTTAGATGTGAGCCCCTTGCTCAGGTGTGTCAAAGGTGACCCTGGGCATCAGAGCCTTGTTCTGGGGTCTGCACTTCAGGTGGGCTGAGAAGATAGGACCGAGAATGCTGAAGTTGATTTCAGGGGCTGAGGGTGAGACAGGAAGTACTATTCCAGGTTGAGAGTCTGAAAATAATCCATATCTGCCTGTGCTCACAGCCCTGAACTGTGCAGTGGAGAATTCTCAGGTGAGCACCCCCTTTTGGCTTAGGCATCTCTGGAATTCAGAGCCTGGTTCTGAGGCTCTTGCTTGAGGTGGGAGCAGGAGAGAGAACCTGGGCTCAGCTAGGTCAACTTGAGGGTTTGGGGGTAAGTGTGGAAGCCCTAATTCAGGTAGCAGGTGCCAAATAATCTGTACCTACTTGTGTTGTCAGCCCTGACCCTGGGACACACTTGCCAGGGCACTCCACTTGCACGCCCCATGCCCATGTTGACCTTTCTGCCTTAGAAATCCCTGAGGGTCAGACACTTTGTCCAAAGGGGAACAAAATGGGGCTGACATAGGACTTGGGATCTTAGTTTGGGGAGAGTCCAAGGTGAGGTCTAGTGGAGGACAGAGGGGCCTGGAGAAAATTCCTTTTTGACCTTTCTGTAAGCCCTGTGAAGGTATGTGTGAGAAAACCACTGACTTCTGCCTCTAGCAGAGAGAGAGAAGGATCACCTTCTAATGTCTGTCCTTCATGTGAAGGGAGCAGAGAGAACCTGTTCCCACTCCAGGTGAGATCCTGAAGCGGGTAAGGAAACCCCAGGCCAGCAAGACTGTCTGTGAACAATACGGATCCATCTCTGTTGTTTGTACTAGACCCCATATGTTCAGGTGTGTAAGACTGAGTCCTTTCCTTCCTGTGGCCTTGATGTGTCAAGGCACACTCCAGACTTCCAGGAACCAGGGTCAGGAGAGGGAGGAATGAGGGGACCCACCCATCCACAGGAGCTAGAACCACATGGGGGACTTCCCTGCCTGATTTATCACCTGGAAAGCCCTGGGAATGCTGCCTGGATGTACCATCTCCCAATTTCTATGGGTAAGACCCTGAGAATAACAGTCTTGGTCACAAAGAGGGGTACCTTCCACTCCAGAACAGAGAGAACACCACAAAAGCCTGCCCCTATTCTGAGTCCAGAATAGCCCCATGTAGGGTTGTCAGGCACAGGATTCCTGACTTCTTCAACAGGGTCTGTGGGTCATTAGGGTCTTTGAAGAAGGAGCAGGGCCTTAGGCAAAATGAATACACTGGCCCTGGCCCAGTCAAGATGAAAAATGAGGCAGGACTTCGGGGCCACGGACACATGACAGAAGGGACCCAGCCTGCCTAATCTTTCAATCTGAGT